TGGACCTATGCATGCTTTGAACTTTGGTTGCTAAACTACTCTTTATAATTCTGTAGTTTACATGGTTTTGAACTGGATTATACTTTCGGTTTTAATTACTGAAATATTATACATTATTCTGCAATTAATTGAATTTTAATTGTTTAAATAATTATACATTATTCTGCGATTAACTAGATTTTAATTTCGAACTTAAATTGCTGAAATATTATACACTATTCCGCAATTTCCTGGATTATGGTTTTGAATTGGATTATGGTTTTGGACTTTAATTGTTGAACTGTTATTTAGGTTCTGTAATTATTATGGATGTTGTGGATTGTATGCACCAGTATGGGACGATGGCATACTAGGGATGGTTTAGCTCAAAACGCTAAAACCTAACCTATTGGAATAAAGGAATGGATTATAAAATATTGAATCATAATTATGTTTAAGTCAGATCAACTGACTAAGTTGAATGATTTCCTGGATGAGTTGTTTATAGTTATGTCATATCAACTGAATAAGTTGAGTGACTAACTGGATTATAAATTGTATGTCAAATCAATGAACAATTGAATGACATACTCTGGTTTTGAACGGACTTTAAATATATGGTTATAGTACCACGAAATGAGCTTGAGTCTTAGGCTCGTTGGTTAGGATGCGTATATGCAGTGGATGCGTAGCTGGCTATGATAGGTTGAGGTGTACCCTGTTAGGTCTAGGTACTCATGCCCACATTTGGGTGCGTTTTTGCATGTTACTTTCTATTGAGGTTGAGACCCCTTCGTAGTCCAGTGAATGTCCCTTAGTGTGGATATATATGTATATATGGACTAGATAGATATTGTAAGATATCTAGGGTGTATCTGCGTATCGGGTCACTGTATAGATTGCAGTTAGATTAGAACTTGTTCGTGGGCCTGACCCACTCTTATATTTTTCAGATATCGGACGGTTCCAGTCTTAGGCTTGATCGTGCTGAGCAGAGACTATTGTTCACTCTACCGATGATGTAGGATCTCATTCCATGTTTTAGATTTGGTTTTATTTTTAAGGATTTTTATGTTCAGTTGGGATTTAATTTAGGGGTCCACTAGATGAATTCTCGAGTTGTACTCTTGGAGGTTTTAGAGAGTTGGGTTTTATAAATCTTTATTTGGAGGATTTTCTATTTAATAAATTCTTTCAGCTTTATTAGTTAATTCTGAATTCTTTTTATATTCTGTGTTTGTTTTAAAATATTAATTGTTTGATATTCCCTCAGGTTTGGGCTTGAGCCTGATCAACCCGTGTCTCGGATCCGAGGGGTATCACATTCAGCATGCTGTAGGGTTCTATATGAAACCAGACTCATGGAAGGACCTGATTGCTTGGTGCTCATTAATTTGGACACAAAAACACTTTATCACACACAAACTTCTCCTTTCTTGTGCAATTTACTACATTTGGCAAGAGAGAAACTCAAGAGCTTTTAGGAACAGGTCTGCCATAGCTAACCACATCATTCACCTCATCAAAGGTTGCATCAGAGCAAGGTTTGCTTCTTTCAAGCTAAGGAATGTTACTGAATTAAGAAAGATTGGCACTCTTGAAGCATTGCAGCAACTTTTCATGCAAGGATGTTCTTATGCAAGTGGGCAAACATGGTTTTTACTGCAGTAATGAATGGATACACCAGATGCTGATGCTATGGAACAAGGAAGAGTCTAGTGCTATTTTTGTTAAATAAGGACTAGTAATAGCCCTTTTGTATGTGGAAAGATTGTATGGTTTTCATTGTAACTGGTGCACTGCCATGGAAGCCTCTTCCCTTGGTAGTTGTTCATGCTGTACATATTTTCTTCTTTTTATAAAGCTCAACCTTTTAACCAAAAAAACATATAGCTCTGGTCTTCTCACCTCCGCAGTAGAATCAACTTCTGTTGAGCAATTGAATACACCACATTTGTAATCATAAAAAACAACAAACTCCATGAATTGCAACATCATTCGAGATAAATTAGTAACTTTGCATTATAAAAAGCAATAAAGATGATTTTTAAATAAATATAATAAACTAATATTTAATATTAATATAGTACATGTTAAAATGTCACTTATATATTTTTTTTTCCATAAGTCTCAAATTATATTGAGCCACCCTCCTATCACATCATATATTCCCCCAAAACAAAACCAAACAAAAAGGAATATTATTTATTTAAATTTTTGCATGTTTGATTATGTGAAAGCAAGAGAGGAAAGAACACTACATTTATGATCCTTTCCTAAAAATGATCTTGCAAATTCCTGCACTTGTTGTTCGAAAAGTCAAAGGCAAAGGGTGCAGTGCACTTTTAAATAGTCAAATCCACATGTTTAAATTTATGAATAGTATATGGAAGGTAATCTGAAAATGATCAGTTGCAGTGACAATATGTGAAACAAACAACATAAATTGAGAGCCTATTGGTCCGTTAAAAAATAGACTGTAGACCTAAACATTCATGAATGAAATATTGGATTTCAAGTCAACTTAATTTGCTCCATATATATACCCAAAAGCATTAAAATGGGAAGAAAAAAAAAAAAAAATTGCGGACCTATTTGGCTCAGTTTTCTATTGTTTTCCACATTTCAAGAATGAAAAGAAGAAAATAATTCAAAAAATAGCTTGGTTATCAATTTCTGAAATTCTATTCTGAAAATTGAGTAGAAAAAAAAAAACAAAAAAAAAAAAAAAAAAAACAAAACCAAAACAAAAAAAGGCATATAAAGAAGTGCCTTTTCAAGTTCTGGGAACTATTTCTTGTTTCTAGACCATTCAATTTTCATAAAACTGAATCAAACATGCCACAAGATCGAATTGATTATAAATTGGTGTTCAAAGTTTTGGTCATACATAGTGGGACTTACAAATGCAATCCACGGGATTTTTTTTAGGACCTATTTTTTCATTTAGAACTCTATTATAGCCCAGTATATATATAAGGATGGCTAGAGTTTGGAGTAAATAACGAGATCAAGAACATTGAAAATCACAAGAAAGAGAGGAAAAGCAAGAGCAAGAGCAAGGATTCGGAGAATGAAACTTGTAATCTTTTAATTTTTGCATAGTTAAATTTTTCGCCAAATCTTGATTATGGTACTTGCTTATGCCAAATCACGTAGTGTGTTTACTTTTCTATCATGATTCTTATTTTGTTTTTGGTTCATTATGTTTGTTATAACAATGAGGTTGTGCAATCATCCTAGCAATTCAACGACGATGAGAATACTAGCTCGGTGAATACACCCTCATGATACAATCACTCGTCGTGGGTAGCCCTTTATGATTGAGAAACAAAAATACCACAATTAACATTGTTTAAAGCAATTAGAAGCTTGAATATTTCTCACTACCAAAAGACAACGTTTCTCATTATTATCTAAAATAATAATATGTACGTATGTATATATGTGTGTATATATATATATCAAGAGGCATATCATTGTCATCCTAGCATATATGTCATGCATCATAAAATTTTAAAAATTGTCTAACCTAATAATGCAGTATGGAAAATGAGGATGCCGTACCTTCATAATATTTTCTTCCAAAATCTCATAGGTACAATAAAAACTTGTTTTATACGTAGGATCATGAAGTTCCACCGGACAAAACTAGCCAACTCAATATTACGCAATACTGCCAAAGTTCAAGACATTGAAATATATAAATATTTTTATATAATCGTGAAGCAAAATCCTTCACCAATCACAGTGATCCAACTATAAATATTTCTATATAACGATGGAGTAAAATTCTGCACTAATCACTGTGCCTCCTTTGACTATTGAACACCTTTCATATATTCTTACCTTTACCATGCCTATACATAGGCTCGTTGTATTCAAGCAATATATAGATCGATCTGAATAATAAAAATGTAGCCCTTAGTAGCTCTTTGTCCATGGACGTAGGTGTTAGTGCCGAACCATGTATATATGTGCATGTGTTCTCCATCTTTCTCTCTTCCCTTTTCCTATTTACATTTCTTATTTCCGCATCCAAATTTAACATTTCTCACTACCAAAAGAAAGGGTTTCTCATTAATTATTATCTAAAATATATATATATATCAAGAGGCATATCATTGTCATCCTAGTATATATCTCATGCATCATTAGATTTTCAAAATTGTCTAAACTAATAATGGAGTATGGAAAATGAGGATGCCATACCTTCGTCATTTTTTATTCCAAAATCTCATAGGTACAATAAAAAACTTGTTTCATATGTAAATAGGATCATGAAGTTCCACCGCAACGTACCACCAGACAAAACTAGCCAACTCAATATTAAGTAAGTAATGCTGCCAAAGTTCACGACACTTTCAAATGACATCAAGAATTAAGTTAGCTGCAAAATACCATAAGAATCAAGACACTTTCTTTTTTTTTTTTTTTTTTCCTAAATGGAATCAAGACACTTTCAAATGACCTCTTCATCACTTTCAAAACCAGGAGATGGGACGCATCACAAACATCAATCAAATCCCACATAGCCATCAGTTCTAATGCCTGCTGGCTTCCAGCAGATTCATGCCAACAAACTAGGGTTTTCGAAGAAAATGGGAAAAAGTTGTTGCCACTTACAAAAGGAATGTCTATGGGGATCAGCTTCACATTGTGTAGATATTGATCAGTTTGTACCCTCTTGGGGCTCATGGTATTAAAATGCGTCTATGTAGGAGGCATTCCCTTATAAGTGTCATCAACTTTTCCAGCCCAGGTGAAATGGGACGTTATATAGAATAAGTTGTTAATTGTATAAGGAAAAAAAAAGGAAAAAAAATATATAATAATTACTTGATCAAAGTTACGAATAATTCAGCCATAAGTAATAATTCATCCCGAGTCTCAAACACACAAGATTATGGGAGTATAACGACTCCGCTCATTTTTTTTATATTCCAATACATTAAAAGTTACAAGCCAAGATACTAATTGCCTTTATAGTTGAGTTTAATTCATCAACTGGATACCTCCCAGTGACTCATGCACGGACAAACAAAGATTAGATAATTCAGAAAACCAGTTTCTTCAATCTTTCATGCACTCTTGAACTATCTATGCCAATTCTAGACCAGATAGCCTGCAAGAGATCAGTATAATATATTATGTTAGTTAATTTACTATGTCACAGATAACTGAATGGCAATAAAATAAGAAAAAGAAACAAATATGGAGCCAAGATTATGACTTGTATTTTATAATTAGGTTTAAGGTTCATGAAATATTGCTGCTACTATATATGTCCCCATTTCTTATAAATACAGCCTAGTTTCATGACTACATACATACTAATTAATTAAGAGTAATATCAAGTTAATTAACAGAGTCTTCTTCAAATTGTCACATGCATCTTTAGTGTGAAAATGATGCATGCACGAAATGTTTCTAATATATATAGCAAAAAGTAAATTTTAAGAATTAAAAGTGACAAATCAAGTTTATTCAAAAGGACAGAGATCGATATATATAATAATTTGTCAGAGCATATATATGATCTATACTTTAAATAAATTTTGATTTGACCCTCCATCTTAGTATTAATTTTGGCTCATGTCTCCATACTTTTGCATGTTCGAGTTTAAAGTTTGCGAGTTCATAGTTATATATGTATATATACTTAGATGAGCTATCCATCTAAATATATTGCAAAATTATCTATCAAATATATTGCAAAATTATCATACCCAAAACACACCCCTATTCAGTTATCATTTCAAAAAATTGCCTCAATGTATAAAATATGCCTTATTTTCAAGGTGGAAGACCTATTGATATGGTCTTCACCCCATTAGGAGTACCTTCAAAAATGAATGTGGGACAAATATTTGAATGCTCACTAGGGAACTTAGCGGATGGTCTCCTACATCGAAATTATTGAATAGTGCCTTATGATGAAAACTAGTGTTTTCTGAATTATATGAAGCCAGTAAGCAAACAATGAATCCATAGGTATAAAGTGTAAAATCAAATATATATATGCGGGCGCTCACACACATATATACCTGAGAGACAATTGTATAGAAGACCTTATCGTCTGCATTAGAATAGCTTGCACTGACAACTTCAGCACCTTCTTGGCTAAGAACACTGACAACTTCATGTAACATGAAACTTTTGTCCCTCCCTGTAATCAAATTCACCTCCAAAGTTGAACCTACTTCTCTTAGTGAAAGTTGTGGTAAGATGTTGCTTCCCATAGTATATTCTCCACCATTCTCACCATCACCTTTGAGTTGTTCCTTTCTTTGATTCAGTTTTTCCACTTTTTCTTTCAGTCGCTTCACATAAGTTATCGCTTGATCCAACAAATCATGTGATGGCATTCTTTCCTATAATAAAATCATCACTTCCATTAATTTAGTTCAATTATATATATATATATATATAATTGAACTAAATTAATGGAAGTGATGATTTTATATATATGTGTGTGTGTGTCTGTGTGTGTGGATTCAAAACCTAAATAACTTTTAATATTCAAAGTGAGACTATATACATCTGACTCTCCCGGCTCCAGCAATAGCAGGAGTTCAGCCCGGGCATTAACCTAGGTGTTGTGGGTGTATATATAGCTAGAATGAGAGTGTGTGTTGTGTGTGTATTTATAGCTAGAATGAGAGTGTGTGTGAGAGAGGGGGGAGAAACGTACATACCTTGGAGTTTTGGGTAATGAAGAGAGTGGCAAGCGTGCAAAAAAGATTTTTCATGTGTAATCTTTGCTTTTTCTCCATTACATTTCGAACAAGTTTACGAGGATGACTCTCAGGTGGTTCCATTATAAATGTGTATTCAATTATTAAAGTGTGTGTGTGTGTGTATATATATATCTTCACTAGCTAGCTAGGGTTTACTTAGGTTTCTTTTGTTGCAGCAACACGAGAGGACGCGTGTCTGCATATATATATATATATATATATATATTTATATATCAACAGATTTGATTCATACTTGTCGTTGTGTGTGTGTGAGAAAGAGAGAGAGGACGACAACAGATTCATGGTGTGAACAAAGAGTAGCCGCAATAGAATTATTGTCCAATCACTATTCCATTTAGTTCTTGACCTAGACCAAGTCTGCTTTGAAGTTGTGATGTAAGACGATGTAGTTTTAGATGGGCCCTGTGTCTGAGTTTGTTTTACATGGGCTCTTACCAGCATGGTCATTCTCTTTTGGAACTAACTTTCCATTTAAAACTTCCATTTGGATCTCTCCCCTGCCAGGAATTAATGGGGTTCAGGGTATGCATCAGAAATTTATAACAAAAAAATATACAAAAATCTGATGTCGTTTTGGTGCGGGAATCAGGATTACCTACTGTGTTGAGATTTAGCGTGTCATTTTGGACATAGTCACAGTTTCATATTGTGGAGGGAAAAAACTCCCTCCAATAAAAAACGCACACGTCACCACTACCCATATCTACAGGCCAAGGACATATCAGGCTCATCATGCTCAAGCCCAAGTTGAGGGAATTTACAGCCCAAGACCATTCCATCAAGGCCGAATCAAGAAGCCATCAGCCCAGCTTGTCGTCAGCCCAGACATGAGTATTTAACATCCGGCCTGTTACCCAAGCCCAGCCGGATCAAAATATATTCAGCCCAAGAATGCACAAATCCTACCATTTGAAGAATTTACTGTAGAAGGAAAATTCGGATAGGAAGTTCTGTACAAGGCAAGTTCTATGTATGGAAAATTCAACAATGGAAAGAACTCTATTAGAAAAGAATGGTTATATAGAAAGAATTGGAGGGCAAGCAACGCGAGTCCTACCATAATTTTGCAATCTTTTATATATAAATAGAGGCTAAGACCTCCAATGAAAGATCAAGCAATTCTACGCTACTCTACACCTTGTTCTTATTTATTGTTTATTGAGTGAGTTGTTTTATTTTTCTCAATCATTATTGGTTGGGCGAAATTTTGCACCTACACTTTGGCGCCGTCTGTGGGAAACGTATAGAAATATACTCCCACTTGTTCTTCAAATTAAATCCTTTAATCGTGTCTGGAATGTCAAACGGAGAGTCAGTAATGAATCAACAGATAGAATTGATGCAAAAGATGCGAGAAGAGTTCTTGCACCAATTTGAGACACTCCGGCAAGCAAACGATACGAGTGTCGCCCAGATAGCTGCGCTTCAGCAGCAGACTCATACGCTGCACACGGCCATGGCCGGGCTAACGCCACAACCACCACCAGGCGATGCTGCGGCACCACCTCCCACCCGGAATTTACCTCCGGTTCACGAGCCTCCAGCCAACGAGACACCACCCAACGGGGCTCGACCTAGTGAGGTTCAGCAAAAGCAAGGGACGAGGTCCGAGGCAGTTGCTTCGGATAATCTCCCGCATCGCACACAGGACGAACAGGCTGAGTCCAGCCGTAGGCTTACGGTATGGTCCAATGGCGTTCCAGATGGCGCGCGTGTACAAGATGCCTTCGACGAAAAGAAGCTCTTGAGAGTCCAGACACCAGCCGAGATGGCTAGAGAGCACAAGAACTCCTTGGTCAACACCCCCTTTACTGACGAGGTGTACCTTGTGGAGAGGCCGAAGAAGTTCACTATGCCATCCTTCACCCAGTTCGATGGGGCAGGAGACCCCTCTCGGCATCTCGATCATTATGCGCAAAAGATGGCACTAGACGATCATAACGATCCGTGGATGTGTAAGGTTTTTCCTACCAGTTTAACCGGAGCAGCGTTAGAATGGTTCAGGAATAGGCCACACAAGTCTATCCCTGACTATGAGACCTTGTGCACCATGTTCTTAGCCCAGTATTGCGGAAATAAGAAGCAGAAGAAAAGTATCGCCAGCCTTTTCACCATAAGGCAAAGGAAGGGAGAAACTTTGCAAGATTTTTTATCCAGGTTTAACATGGAGGCCTCGGAGATAGCAGATTGCCATCCTGCCACGGCAATCGAAACGTTTAAGTTGGCGATGATCCAGGGAACCAAGTTTCACACATCCTTAGTCAAATATTCCCCCCCGGATATGCAGACTTTGAACGCTAGGGCACAAATCTACATCCGGTTGGAGGAAAACGTAGCCCACCGTGCACAGCACGCTACCCTCGTCACGGTGGAAAACAAGTCTCGAGAGAAAGCTGCGAGCACAAGGATGCAGAAGGTCCCTCATACCGCCACACAAGTCACCCAAGCGTCTGAGAAAAGGCGAAGGACAGAGGACAGGCTTACCCCTCTCCGTACTACCTTGGCGCGCCTATTCCAAGAGAATAAGACGAGGTTCGCAACTCCTCAGCCCATGAAGCAACCCTTGGAGCAGAGGGACAAAAGCAAACATTGTGCCTACCATAGAGATTATGGGCATACCACCAATGACTGCAGGTCCCTACAGCGACAAGTAGAAAGCATGATAGCGAGAGGAGAATTGGTGGAGTATCTCGCCACGAAGGAGCACGTAAAACCTCGGGAGGTTAACCTTCGACGGGTAGAGAGCGGTCAGGTAAAGGTTATCCATGCTATACACGGAAGGTCAGAGGATGATGAAGAGTCTGAAGAGTTGTACAGATCCAGGCTGCGAGAGGCTCATAAGTTACGAAGGTTGTCTTCGGTAAACACGATTGCACCAGGCAGCATCAACATTGGATTCGGTAACAACGATCTTTCTAGAGTCCAGCGCCCACACGAGGACCCCTTAGTCATCAGCCTCCTGGTAGCGAATTACATGATCAGGAGAGTGCTGATAGATCCGGGAAGTAGCGCCAACATCATTACAAAAACAGCTTTTGATCAGTTGGGGATTTCACTATCATCCGTCAGGCCAACTTCCGGCCCCCTAATGGGATTTGATGGTACTAAGGTGAATCCGCTTGGGGTGATCGATCTATTCGTTACTGCAACAAAGAGAACTCTGAAGGAAAACTTCGTCGTGACAGAGATTCATCCATCTTATAACCTCATTATGGGAAGAGGTTGGATCCATCGTATGAACGGAGTCCCTTCTACACTTCACCAAGTACTGAGGTGTTTATCCCCGGATGGCAGAGAGGTCATCGACCTCTGGGGAGACCAGGTTGCTGCAAAAGAATGTTACATGCTAACGCTACATGAAGCAAAGAGAGCATCGAAGTCACCTCAGTCAGAGGCGAATCCCAAAGACACGATCAAATAGCAGTTACAGTACCCTCTGCCCAAGTATCTCAAGTCAGAGGAGGAAGCCGAAGCTGAAGCACCCACCGAGGAGTCCCTCGAAGCTATAGAGGTAGTCCTCGGAGACCCCCAGAAGATCACCTACATTGGCTCATCTTGCACAGCCGAAGATAAAGAAGCATTGATCAGGGTCATTCGGTGCAATTCGGATGTCTTTGCCTGGGATCACTCGGACATGGTGGGGATCGATCCTGCAGTCTCATGCCATAGTCTGAGGGTTAACCCAGAGTTCAAGCCAGTCAAGCAGAGGCACCGACGGTTCGCACCTGAACGAAATCGCATAATAGCCGAGGAGGTAAATAAACTGTTACAAGCAGGATTCATTCGAGAGGTGCAATACCCACAATGGCTCTCAAATGTAGTAGTCGTTCAAAAGAAGAATGGGAAATAGAGGGTATGCGTAGATTATACCAACCTTAACAAAGCTTGCCCAAAAGATAGCTTTCCTCTGCCCAAGATTGATCAAATGGTGGATGCTACGACGGGTTATGAAAGGCTCACATTCCTCGACGCATACTCCGGCTATAATCAGATTCCCATGAATCCTGAAGATGAGGAGAAAACTGCTTTCATCACAGAAACGGGCACTTACTGCTACAGAGTGATGCCCTTCGGTCTAAAGAATGCCGGAGCCACCTACCAGCGACTTGTCAATAAAATCTTCAGTAATCTGCTGGGCGATACAGTTGAAGCCTATATCGATGATATGGTGGTTAAAAGTATACGGAAAGAGGACCACCCGAAGCACCTCCAGGAGGTCTTTAATACTCTCAAGAGATACAATATGAAGCTGAACCCCACCAAGTGCTCCTTCGCCGTTTCGTCATGACAGTTCCTTGGGCACGTCGTAAATAAAAGAGGAATAGAAGTAAGCCCAGCTCAGGCAAAGGCACTCATATAGAACCAGGAGCCGACAACCCGCAGGGAAGTGCAAGTTCTAACCGGCCGAATTGCGGCTCTCAGCCGGTTCATATCCCGATTATCTGATAAGTATAAACCTTTCTTTGATGCTATTCGATCCAAAAACAAAGATATGTCGGGACCTCAGCAGCAGGAAGCTCTCAATCAATTGAAAAGCTACATGACAAAACCCCCAATCCTTTCTGCTCCAACGCCCGGAGACACTCTCATCCTGTACCTGGCAGTAT